GTTTGCATCTGTGTATTTGTTGGGGAAAACAACATTTGTTCTATCACAACTTTATCCATGTTTGAGTTTGGACAACATGATATCATAATGTGTTTTACAGGAGGGGTGTCAAACTCAATTTCCATTGAGGGCTGCATCAGAGATGTGTTTGACCCTTGGGGGGTTGGGGTGTCCATGTGGGGGTTGTCAGCTCGATGTCACCGCAACGACTTCCTGTAGCCCTCTGCCAGTGAAAACAGAGCCTGGGCAAGCTGTATTTTCACTGGCAGAGACACCATAGGCTGGTCCTTTGCTGTTTCCATGGTCTAAGCACCCCATGGGCTGCATCCAGCCTGTAGGCCTTGATTTTGACACCCCTGGTTTACATGATGGTGTGAAAACAAGGTTATAGATTAATGACAAACAAAATATTGCAGCACAAATGTGAATGTCCAGAATTCGATGCTGATGCAGCATCCACTAATCAGGTGATAAAAATTTGGGTGCTTGGTAACAGGAATATATTTACAACAGTTGCAGGGCCCCGGGGTCATGTGAATGCCATTTATGACCTTACCAGATAGCTTCCGGCAAGCAAATCAATGGGGGAAAATCGGATTTGCTTAATGGTCACATTAAGCACATTAACAACTGTAATGATTTGCTTAACAACTGCAACAAAACAATGTTCTAAAATTGGGCATGATTCACTTAACAACACAAATGTTGGTCCCAATTGTTGTCGTAAGTCGAGGATTATTTATATTTCTATATTTTTGCAAACTTTAAGGCTTCTCTGTATCTACTTGATACATATATACTCTTGTGGTAGCGATGTTGTTTTGACTATAAAAATGACCCTCACAATCTGATGTTGAAACATGAAATATCCTGACAAAATAGCTTATTCATACAAAGCGTCAAAAAAAGTATAATCACTTGAATTTGCTTTTAACTTTTTTCCCCTTCATAATCAAATAAATGGCCAAACATTCTGATCAGCCTACACAAAATTGTTTTGAGGGGAAAAATGACAGTGTAAATGAAAATCATATGTAGAATATCTAGGAACACATAAGAAAGAAAGAAAAAGTAAGAGTTAATCACAAATATCTTTTGTCAGCAGGATATGAGAATCTTTATTAGATTAATTAGATTAATGTATTAATCAGTTCTAAAGGAAGAAAAAAAGAAGGAACAAACAAGTGAGATTCTTGTGCTTTAGGAATTTGTGTCATCACACCTACTCAGATGAAACAGATTTGAAGAATAAATATTTATTATTTCAGCCAATTTCTGTCTTTCTCAGAATAACTGCTTGATGAACTCTGTATTCCTTCAGTACCTCGGTATCATCTTATTTTTCCTTCATCAGCTTTTTCCTAAACGTCAGTTTTGAACTTTCAGAGCAAAGGAGTGTGTCCAATTTCCAAGGGGCTGGCAACCTTGGCATAACTTGAGGTGCTTCAAAATTTCACAAAATAACCCTGTTTTTCTGTTTTCTGGTCAGTCCTTATTAAAAACTATGAAAACTAGCAAACACTGGAACACATCATTTGACATTCTTGCTGATAGGAAGTTTATAGCAAATAGGCATTCAACCTTGGTATTCACTGAGAATTATTATTATTTAAAGAACCTTTTACTCTAAGAAAACAAGGATTGTTCCTTTCTTTAAGCCAATAATTCAAATATTAATTATTTAATATTGCTTTTTTAATCCTTTCTATATTACTATTGTTTATCTTCCATATAAATCCACATTATCCGTTTTCTGAATATCCTTTAGAATTTTCTCCAACTAGTATGTTCTTGAAGTGATTATAACACAGCCCTAAGAATTATAAACTCAGACAAAAGCAAATTTATTGTAACATTTGGGATTATTGGAAAGTGAGCCTTATAGAGGTGAATGGGCCTTAGGTGGATATACTTACCTATCGCTATCTCTCTCTCTATCATCTATCTATCTATCTATCTATCTATCTATCTATCTATCTATCTATCTATCTATCTATCTATCTATCTATCTATCTATCTATCTATCTATCNATCCCATCACAGTTGCACTGCTCTCCTTAAGTCACAAGTTCTTCTTTATACTGCATTGGTCAGACACTCCAACTCAAATAGTACATCCAGTTTGGGCACCATCCTTTCAAAAGGATTGTGGCAAACTGGAAGAACTCCACAAAAGTAGGCTACAGCCCAGTTCCTGTAAAGAGAGAGTGAAAGAATGGGATATGTATAATCTTAAAAGACAAGGACAAGGGAAATTTATGAAAACACTCTTCAAATATCTAAACAGATGTCATACAGAAGAAAGCCAATATATGTTGATTCCAGAATGAAGGACACAAATGGCCGGTAGAGAGTCAATAGTTCTATGGTTTGGGGGGGGGGGGGACACAACAGAAATAGCATTTTGATAGTGGTATCTAGAGAAATAGTGGCTTCCATTTGTTGGATGTGTTCAAAAAGAATTAGCTATTTGACAGCTATTTGGATATAGCTGTAAAGTTGGAGATGCTTTAATTTGGATTCCTACACAGATTAAGAGTTTAAATTTGATGGTCTAAATAGTGCTTTGCAACTAAGTTTCTAAGACTCTATGAGGCTTATGCTTATTATCATTTCTCAGTTTAAGTTTTGGATAACACCAACAAAGAAAAATATCTTCAAAGATGCATCTATTAGTTCTCAGTTACTACTGACTTACTCAAACATGGTTCACAAATCTAAAATAGATTGAAAGATCCTCCCATTTAAAACCATTGTGATTAGGGTGTATTGTGATTGATACAATTTGGAACTGACTTTTTTCCAGTCAGAAAACAAATTGTTTTCTAAACTCAGTAGAAAATTGAGACCTATTGCCCTTCTAGAGAAATTATTCGTAGCATGATAGAATCTGAAGGCACCCTGTAGTCTTGAATTTCCACTGTCATATTTTTTCCTGAGATGTACCCAATGATGACTGAATGTAGGGCATCTCAAATAAAAACATTGAGAAATATAAACTCGCATAAACTATACAACAACAGCATCATGAAATGTTTGGATGAAATAAGAAGAGAACAGCAGGAGTAACAGAACAAAGATTTCACAATAATATAAGCATATTAGGAATCAGTTGTAAACTTATATGGTTTTTTGTGGCTCAAGGAGAATCATCAAGGAGAAAGAAATTCTCCAATCAAGTCATCTGAAAAATCTGCCTTGCTGTTGTGTACAACAAATGTAGGACTAACTTATTTCAGATAGGCATTATGAAATCTCTCTAAAACAATTCTCTGAAATGTCCTTTGAATTTTAATCATTCATAATTGTATGTTTACTTACAAAGAAGTTTTACTGAATCATGAGAAAGATACGTCAAGCAAATGTACATAGAATTCCAGTTCTTCTGACATTGCTATTTTAACTGATTGGCTATTTACTACTTATTGACACCATTGATTATTATTGGCATATTAGTATTTTATTACCAAAACAATGAAAACACCTGATATTTAAAACTGTATTTTAATTAACATCTGCTATCATATTATATTTCCAAAGCCATTGGACAAAACAAGATATCTAATATCTTCTGGCAATGTTTATGTAATTACTTTTAACTGATTTTTGCTTATCACTATATTCTGACAGATTGAAACTGTATTTCAAGCCATTTATGAAAAGCTTCTTGCATGCTATGTCAAATCTATATAAAGCAGGTTTTTAAAAATACAATTAGACATTTCTGCAAACAAAAGAATAGCACCTCCCCCCCCCCGGCATTCTTTAAACTAAATAGAATCTTTAGATTGGGTGAAAGAAATAGCTTTGCGATAAATACATTATTAAATGTATTATTATTACCAAAATATTTTTATATTTACTTTTTCATTCAAACTCTCTTATAAATACCCTAGCTAACCATATTTAAGTTCTACCCAATACTTCACTCGGTTGGAGATTGAGAGTGTGAAGTGAAATGGTCCCTGCTTCTTGTTAACAGAACAGTTGCTTTACTTGCTGGATAGCAAAGTATGTACAGAAGCCCAATGGCAAAGCCACTATTTAAGGATATTTGGTTGAAAGGCTAAAACCTTTTGTCAAAATGGAGAGTGTCACTTCTGGATGTTTGCCATGGTGAGGCAGATTGAATCACTGACCTGATGAAGACAGATCATGGTTATATGCAGAACCTAATGTTTGTCCTCTTTCAGACATCTACAATTGCTGTGGCAGTATTACATATACATACTTCTTTTGTTTCTAACACAATTAAATAAGGTAGACAACTGTGCATATTTATTAAAAACAGGCATGTTTTTGATGCAGTTCTTCATTCAGTGCTGCTACAATTGTTGTAGTGAAACTAGTCAAGCAAAAAAAAAATTGGTTGTACTTCAGCCTGAATCCTATTAATGAAAACAATCCAAATAATGTGGACCAACATTTGATGCATGTAGCTGTAGAGAGATCAATAAAATTTTGATTGGAATTTAGGCTCCATCCATCAAGGAATTTGCAAATCATTAACCTCCTTGGGGTGATTCTAGATATAAGTCATACTTAAGTAGACCCACCGAAATTAAGTCAGTTTTGATTAATTTATGTCAAAATGATTTCATATGGGTTTTGGCTAAATATGACTATGTTAGTTTTCTAGCTCATTATAATTGCTTATGCAGAAATATCACTATATATATAAAACATAACTGAGTAAGAAAAGCAAAGATGAGATGATCCTATCCCAAAGTACTTATAAACTATTTTTTAAAAAAATTGGGGAGAAAAAATAAAGGAGTAAAGATTGGAGGGAAAAAAAGAGACAGGATACATGTAAATCAATATAGTCTATAAAAGCCCTAGAACCACAATTTAATCAGCATTTCCTTCCTTTTTATTTTGTTTTATCTATTGTTTTGTCATTTGAATGGAAAATTGGAAATGTTCAAAAGGCAACAAAATGAAAACAGTTTAGAAAAGGATGAAGAGATGAACATAATTGATTATCAAGCACCAATTACCTGAATAGCATTAGTAACATTCCAACCAGCTTCCCAAGTAGTGATCAGTGTACTTTGAGCATTTTGTGTATGCACTTGGGATTCACAGTTTTGATCTTGCACCTGTGCATCAAGCTCCAAAGAAAGGTCTACCCTTTCATCTTCTTCATCATGAATCCTATTCAGTCCATCCTGTTGGGCAAAATTCACATTTTCTTCATCAGTAGAGAGGCAACCATTCCAATTCATCATGTTGAAAAAGAGAGATTTTGTGCTCCTAAAGTGATTTGAAAGAGATGAAAACATTTGCTTTGTTTAAGCTATCCTGGTATACCAGATGGCTGTAGTAATTAGACTATTCTTGTTGAAATTAATTTTCCAGTAGTGCTATCTTATTAGAATTTCTGGAAGATGTACTGAGGTAAAGAAGATGCTACCAAATTCTTCATTAGTGGCAGTGCCAAAGGCTGCTCTAACAAGACTGTTTGCAACAACAATCCTCAGTGTGCCGCTTCTCAATCTGGGAGAATGAGAGAATCCTGAAAAACCAAGATATCCAATTGAATTCTTCTCAGTTATGGTCATTGAGTCAAGCAGTCAATTGTCAATCAGTCAGTTACAAGTAGCTGGCAGAAGATACGGCTAGGTATTTATGCAAGGATTCATTGCTAACAACTTATTCCTCCATAATGTAATTATAGTAATGTGCACTAACAAAAGAAAAAGACAGATACTGGAAAAAATATGTGACTGTATCCTAATAGAGCAGGTTCTCATTCATCCTAACTTATTTATTTATTTGTTTGGCTTCGAAAACAACCACTACATTTCAATCATCTTGCACAAAAACTTGTAAAAAATAAATCACTTGATAAAAGCCAGCTTCAGAAAGTGAAACTTTAGATAGGATTTTTTTTTAATCCAAATGTGAGAAATTTCCAGTTTGAACTTGGCTTAAATTTAAAATAGCTCTGAAGTGTGACTTTGCCCTGATAGATAAGGGATGGACCAAATATATATACTTTCTGTTTAAATTATGTTCTCGTTTCCCATGTCTACATAGCTGACACTGATAAGACAATGGTTTTATGTAGAAAGTAAAGATAAAATATGGGGTTCTTTAGGGTTTTTTTTAATGCTTGACTCATTTACCAGGTTTGGTAAGCTTCAAGTTCTAAGCAAGAAGTCAAAAAAGGAAAATCATGATTATAGGTTTGGGAAGATTTTAAAATATCTCAGAAGTAAAAAAAATGCCGTTAACAATGGAATTTCATCACTTCTTCATCACAAGATTAAGTTAAACCACGTGCAATCAAGCAATTATGGCTTGTCCATTCTAACTATACATTGTATAGCCCATCCTTCAGTGTTTATGAAGGGTATAAAACAACTTATAATTTATTCACACAATATTTGTATATGACATTAAAGTTTAAAGAAAGAAGAGGCATCTTAATACCTACTCAAATTTGACAGCCATCAAATGGGCATTAGAGCTGAGATGGCACAGTAGTTAAAGTGCAGTACTGCAGGACACTTTAACTGACTGCTAGCTACAGTTTGGCAGTTCAAATCTCACCGGCTCAAGCTTGACTCAGCCTTCCATCTTTCCGAGGTGGATAAAATAAGGATCCTGATTGTTGTGGGCAATATGCTGACTGTAAACCGCTTAGAGAGATCTGTAAAAGCACTATGAAGTGGTATATAAGTCTAAGTGCTATTGCTATTGCTTTGGCCTCTGTTATGGTCACAATTCAATTGCTCACGAGAAAATGATGAAGGAATTTTTTTTTACATTGGCCAGGATATGTTGAGGTAAACTCTTCTTAAAAGCAACTAGGCCACATTTTTCTTATTTAGACACATTTTGTTTTCAACAGGTAATTCTTACACATCTTCTTTCCCTCAGGACCAGACCTAGATTTATAAAGAGTAATGTATCTTATGAATTCTCTGTGGTGGGTGAGGAAGGAGAAATATTCAGAGTTGAACTGTTATTTGCCATTCTGAATTGGGGTGATACCAACATAGTCTATATCAACATACTGTATCTATATATATAAAAGTGAAATACCACTCACGGATCATCATGAAATCTCCAGAACCGTAAAGCCTACAAAGTTGGAATTTGGCATGTAGGTTCCACCTGGCTTCTAGGTGTTCACTAAGAAAGGATTTTTCGAAATGACCATCAGATCATTAGTGTTTCTTATATTATTATTAACATGCTCTGATGCTAATGAGTTCTACTCCTCCCCTCCCCTCCTGAAAAGATCTCTGTTCCAATTGCCACTTGAGCTTGGGTGTGGCCAGTATGTGACTCATCCGGCCTGCGGGTGTGAGTTTAGACATTCTGCTCCCCCTCCCCACCTGAAAAACGCTCTGATGCTAAGGAGTTAGACTGAGGGAGGAAAGGGGGTAAGATAGGAGAGGCCTTTGTGGGGCTAGCCTGAAGGAGAGAAGGAGAGAGGAGAGGCCTATTGTAACTACTCATTAATTTTTAAACTATAAGAGTCGATTTATCCAGCCCGATCACATAGTTTCATAGTGGAGCACAGGTATTCAGCTAGTGTCAGATATTTTTAACTAGGGATCCTTGGTGCTCCCTGAGGTTTGTATTTGTATTTGTATTTGTATACTTTATTTGTATGCCGCCCTTTTCCCTGAGGGGACTCAGGGCGGCTCACAATTCAGGGGGAGGGGAAGACAAACAAGTTACAAACNTCTATCTATCTATCTATCTATCTATCTATCTATCTATCTATCTATCTATCTATCTATCTATCTATCTATCTATCTATCTATCTATCTACTATCTAATAGATATAATAATCTATAATATAGATTATAACTAAAAACATTGTGCCCTGCTGTGTTATCATTTTGGAAATATTTCCTTTTATGAACATAGAAACAGAATGACCAAGGGTGGGGTAAAAAGCATTAGGAGCAGGAACAACTTTCTGTTGGTTTCTCCATTGAGTTTCCATATCTGACAGGAACATTGGAAATGGAACCTAATCTAACCTAACCTGGCCTAGCCCATCCCTGCCCAGCCCAGCCCAGCCCAGCCCAACCCAACCCAACCCAACCCAACCCAACCTAACCTTCCCAGCAGGAAGAAAATTAGCTGTTGCTGTGTTAGGGAGGAAGTGAGGGATTGCAAGACTGGCTGAGAAATTGTCACGGAATGTTGAAAATGAAGATCACATGCTGCAGAAGCAGCCAAGCAATGCAGCAGGCATCCATTAGCACTGAAGCAACCATAACTTTTCTAATTTCATTCTCTCTGGAGTTATGGTGTCCCAGATTTTGTGACCCCATAATATTCTATAAATTAGTCCACTTGAGGAACTTTGGTTAAAAAATGGTTTCCCTACAATGCACCATTTTGTTCAGTTAAAGGCTCCTTTTTCCTAACAGAAAAGTACACAGGGATCTTGATACTCTGTAAATATTGAAAATTCTGTAAAAAGCAAACTATTCATGTTCACTGTTCAGTTTCTGTGTTTATATCCCTACATTCTCCCAAAGACTTTAATTTTCTCCAGTCTAAATTCCTTCCATAGGTGTAGACTTTAATTCTAGCATTCCCCAGCAAACATGACAATAGCGTAGTACTTTGAAATTTACACATCCAGAGGTGATCCATCTTGAAGAAGAGTTTGGCTAGTGTTGCCCCAGTAGTGGGTTCTGGATCCCGTTGCAAACGGTGAGCTGCAATGGGGCCAGGAGTCCACCACATGCATGCACACAGCATGTGCACAGTGCTCATATGAGTACTTATCATCTGCGATGCTCCAGCTGCTTGGTGGAGCATGTGCAGGTGCCGTACGCTCCATGCGCAAAAGCCCCAAATGGCTCAAATGCAGATAAGGAGGGTGGGCGAGCAGTTGGGCCCTCCTGAGCACCATACCGGAATGGTACCTGGTGCTCCCAGCTGGCATCGGTACGCCCATTCCAGGACATACCGGTCGTATCCCACCACTGTTTTGCCTCCTTTGCCGAATTATACCTCTTTCAATAAAAGTTTTTAAATTTGAACATTAGTCTAGTTCTTGAGTTCAGCATCTCTGTCTGATTATTCCCACTTTCCTTTAAAGTCTTCACACCAGAGGTGGGTTCCTACTGGTTCAGATCAATTTGGCAGAGTAGGCAGCAACTTGGCCTGCCATGCTCCCGAACCAGTGGCAGCACCATCTTGATTGTCAGTTCTGCACATGCGCAGAACAACCTTCATTGCAATTTTTCCCCTTTTCTAATGTGCGCATGCACCGACCTTTTTAGGTGCAAATGCAAACACATGTGTAGCGCATGTTTGGCGTGTGCATGAGCGAAGTGAGTTCGCACATGCAAAAGATTTTGTGCGCCGAACCAGCAGTAATGCTGGCAGGAAACCACCCTTGCTTCACAATACCTTAAATGCCATCTACATTTCACACACATACCCTTTAAAAAAAATAGAATTAGAATTAATTTTACATTAGAACATGTAAAATTGCAATCTAATTTTCTAAGCCTCAAGTTACATATCACACCCTTGCTCTGGGCCCTGCACTGGCTTCCTGTCAGCTTCTCAGTATAGTTCAAAGTGCTGTTTTTTTCTATAGTTCCCTGCCTACTAGGCATCAAGGTGTTGGTGGAACGGCCACTTCCAAACCAAGTCCACCTGCCTGACCTGTGCATCTCAGAAAGAAGTTCTGCAGATGCTCCCATATCCACAAAATGTGGGAGACAAATGTAGTTCTCTTTACTAACTGCCTACTCTATGGAAAATCATCCCTTTCCAGAAGCTTTTGAAAACTGAGTAGACAGCTGGTGAGTGACAGAATGCCCAAATTGTCTGATTTGACTTGCGTTTATAGTATGACTTCATTGACTTTCTTTTAGTCCCATCATGGAAGTTATGATTTCTAAATGTTTTTTATTTTGTTATTGCTGTTAATTACTCTATACTAAGAAGAGTCTGGTTTATTGTAGTGTGTGTAAATTGTATGGATGGATAGATGGATGGATGGATGAATGGATGGATAAAATCCTTAATAGTTTTTTTAAAATCCCTAGAGTGGAAAACAAGGCAACACAACAAATTTTCTAAGCACTTAAGGGCAAATTACTCTAGTTGCTTAGTTAGTGAGAAGGAACTAGCCATTCAATTGACTCTCAAACCTGAAGATCAGATTGACCCATACTCTTTTGATATGGCCTTAACTTTTATTGTTGATATCATTCCTATTGAGTTAAGAGAGATC